TGTATTAAATTGATTTATTTTTGGCATACAAAGGAAAAAATCACTTGTTCTTAAGCGCAGGAGATCATGCAGGTAAAGGTAACATCCCTGTTATGTACTGGCTAAACCTGTAATGGAAGCAATTAGAATATGGCATGATTTGTGTGTGCTTTATGTGTATTTGGTATTTTTCTAGCTTCCCATTTATGTGAACAACAAWTGTCTATTTTGAAAATAGTTTTGCACAAATGAAACGTTTTTGAGCACCGATATTTTAGTGTCCTTTTTTTAAGGAAGTGTAATGTGTGACAGTGAGAAAGGCAGAAAATGTAATTTGATGCTTAAGGTACTTCCTCGTGAATGGCTGGATTTCTATTAGCTTAATCGTTCAGAATAATTAATTTTAAATACTTGTCTGTATTATGTTGGATACCTCCCTTACACATGAAGATGTTTCTGTGACTGTCTCTTGCTTAACCTTTCATGAAAATCTAATTGAGTGCAAACAACTGCTTAAATAATTCAATGGTCTAAGTTATTCTTGGCTGGTATAACCCTGCCTCATGCAGTGCAAAGGCCTGGGTGTCAAGCAAGGTTTTGGCATCATGTTTGTGTGTGTGCTGAGTGGAAGATAAAATCACAGCTGGAAAAGTGTGCGGGTTTATTAGGAAGGAAAGGAAAAAAAGATGAAATATTAATTAGTTCCCCACTTCGGCCAATGACTCGTGACTGAAAGGAGCAAATTTAGAACACATCCTCTAAAAAATCTAAGGGAAAGGTAGATGCAGAATTAAATGACTACTCCTTTGTCACTGTATTGCCTTTGCTGTAAACTGTTACTCCCCCAAATTGAAGAGCTCTGATAGCCCTCAAGGTCCATTGCATAGAGGATTTGAGGTCTTTTAATACAGAGGCTTGGCAACTTTGTAGTTCAGGGAGCTTTAAAATGACTTTTACTAATTATGTACCTTTCTAGACGATCCTAGATCTTGAAGAAATGTTTTTAGASGTAACACCAATGTTTAAGCAATACGAAAGAGTGGATGGAGTCTGATCAGATCTGTTCTCCAGGGTTCCTTTGAAATTCCACTTTAAGACCACTGCAGTTTAAACAAAAGACTAAGCGCATTTGTTCAATGACCGAATGTGTTTTGGAATTATCACTGGTACAGAGACAAATTTCACTCTTTAAAGTAAAAGTAGAGCATTGGACCCGGTCATTAACCACCACACTGAACAGAAAAGGGCTTTGAGACCATTGGGAGARCGGTTGGAGCAAAAAAGTTTCAGCTGTAACCAACCAGCTGACTCAGCAAACTGCCTCCTGAAAGCTTACTGAAGGTAATGCAATACCTATGGAATTAGATGTATTATAAAAACATCTGGGCCTTGGGATCATCAGAGAATTGCTTTTGTGGAAAATTTGATGTCTTCTCTAGCTCAAATGTTAAGAGGGATCTGTCACAGTCTGTAGGGTTTTGCTTTGCTTTGTTTTTTCCCTCCTCTTCCTCCCTGAAAGGTAGAGAGGAGGCAGCTGATGCAGTTCTGGCTATGCTGTGATACCCGAGCAAAACATTGTACTTTCTCAGACAGTTCAAATGGTGGAAACCATTTTTGTGTAAGACAAGAAAACTCTATTTCTTCTTGACATCGCATCTGCATGCCTGGATTTTCTCTTCATATAGGGAAAAACGGTATTTGTTTTTCACACATGTTGTTTTTTTGCTGAAACACAAATGCTGCATTAATTAGAAATTTTACAGAGGGCAAAACTCAGCTAACCAAGTTCTAGATCACATGAGGGCATTACAGCATCTCCGTGGATCCTGGAGCGTCCCTTAGCTCGTGGGGAGCCGGGTGGTTTCTGCAGGTCCCATCCCACAGGTGCCCGTGAAAGCAGCTCTGCTGCTGGCCCGGGGCTGCCTCCACTCCTCTGCTTTCCATTCCTGAAGTTTTATGCTGACTGTGTCTAGGACTTCTATTTGACCCTTCAAACACGTTTCCAGCCCACTGGAGACACGCTTGGATTTGAAGCAGTGCTTATTCAAAAAGAAAATTCTAGTAGCAAACACATGAAGAGCTCTGCATGGGAAAAGGCTTTTAGATCAATGTTAGTCCCGTGAGAATTGCTGACTTTTTGCACTAACAATGGTGCCAATACGGTGATTTTTCTCTCTTTTTTTTTTCCCCTTCCTTTTTTTTTATTAAGGAAAACTAATGGCTATTTCCTTCTCTTCCCAACTGCCCTTAACATTGGAAAGTGAACCTCAGATCATTAAAGAAGTCTTATATAAAACAAGATGTAAAAATACTGAAGTTTGGAGAGCTTTCCTTTCGGTGTAAATCATGGTCTGTTTTAAGAGAGTATTTGTGTAAATTTTTTACATGTTACCTTGTGTTAAGTTACTATGTTAATATAATAAGAAGACAGGAGGTAGTTTTGAAGAAAAGTAGGAGGAGACAATACAATTGCAATCAGCAATAGTCACTAAATACTTAATAGTTGTTAAACTAGCCCATAAAGCCGGAGTTATTTTACTCTGGCAGCAGCCTGGGTCCTGAGTGTGGCTTCGTTATCCCTTTTTGTCCTGTACTGCTCTTGAAAGTCTTGTTACATTTCCAAGTATTCCACAGACTCCCTGAGCACTTTTTGATGGAGGGAGTGTTTTTGTCATTCTTTTTAGCTTTAGTGGCAAGATGCAATCCATTCATTACACCAGCCCGTGCTAAAATATTTAAGGGCTGTTCTGTGTAAAGAAATTTAGGAACAGGTGCTTGTAGCAGGACAAGAGCTAGGGAGTTGTAAAGCAGAATAAGTAACTCATCATGTTAGAATGTTTTCCTTTAGACCCTCCCTCAGTCTCAGGTATTTGCTTTGCAGCAGTTGCTGTCAGGGGGTAATGAATACTGCAGGAAACACGCGTTCCCACGTCGGGCTGCAGCGGGAGGCTTGCTGCAGTTAAACTTCTCCCCTTCTTTAAGGTGCTGGAAATTACAATGAACTTGCCTTAGGGCAAAATGCATTACACGAATCTTTGATCTGGCTTCATGACATGGGAAACCCCTAATGCAATTTCTGGCTGTGTATAAAGCAAAACAGCAAATGGGAAGGGGAAAAGCTTTTCCTTTTTCCCTTGCATTTAGCCTAACAGTGAAGCATGATGCCAGGAGATGGTGAGAAAACCTTTTCTCCCATTCCCAGACTTCAAGAAGGCTTCAAAAGCTGCCTCAAAAAGCAGATGATGACAAGAATGGATGATAGATCTAGAGATGGTGCTTGTAGCTTCTATGCATCATAACTTACAGGTGCTTTTTTAGATTGCAGAAGGGGAAAAAAGAGATAAAGCTACTGAAGTAAACATCCTTCACTGCATGGGAAGATGACAGATTCTTTCTAACRATATTTTCTGCTCTCCTGCAGGAGGATCCATTTGTTAATAAACCATTTGAGAATCCATTTTAAAAGGATTTAATAAAACATATATAGACTGCCTTGCATGGCAGAAACTATTATTCCCTTGGGTAGAAAAAGTGACTGACTCTGGACATTAATGGCTCCTTCCTGTGATTCCTGGCATTATATCTTGCTCCCATTTGCACTTTTTCAAACCAAAGTGAAATAATTTTTCATGAGAATCCTGCACTTGATTCGTAGCTCTCCTGAGACATGTGTGTGTTCTATATTTTATTTATTTGTATTCAATCGCGTCCCTAATTCTTGCTGTTGCAGGAGCTGTGTCTGTAGCAGGGATATTGTGTGTGTTTGTGCATACTTGCTGCCTGTAAGGAAGGTTCCGTAGCCAGCAAGCTCCATTAAATCGGGGAGGTAATAGCTTTTGTGTGAATTAAATGAATTGTTTTGTTATTGCCAAAGATGTTCACTTTCATTAATAATTTGCATGTTTTCCTCCAAACCTCTATATTTGATGTTGTGGTGGTTGCTGCCCATGAAAAGAGAAACCTTAACCTCGGAGATACTTGTCTGAAAGGGGCTGGGTGACCCACAAAGGAGAAAAAATGTCTTAAGAATTAGGAGGGAGGTTTTTTAGTAGCAATATTCATCATATAAGCACGCAAGGCTTCAGATTTTGGCTGCAGGGCATCGTGAAGGCGGCTGGCCGAGTTTGGGAGAGCCGGGGCCCTGGTGCGGGGTTTGCAAGGAGCAGGTTTCAGACCTCTGCAAGTGGAGCTGGAGGGAAGCGCAGGCACAGTCCTCAGCAGAGATTCTGAACTGAAAATCTCTGCACTTACGGAGCCAGGTAACTGTACTGCACATCGGTTAATGACACACTAGGGATCACTGGACAGTAAAAGGAGTAAATTAAAGTATTTTTTCTGTCTACTGAACCAGATCTTCTCAGTTCATTATAAAACATGTGGGTTGCCTTTCCTCTTTCTTGAGGGCAGTGCTGGGCACCATCAGACAAATGTGCCAGCTGGAAGAATGGATCTTTCACTCCCTACTTTGATAAAATGTCATCTAGGAACTTAGAGAAGGGCGGGTGGTGACTGCTAASTGCAAAATGACCCCTATCCATCTGGCTGCAGAGCCTGTGCTAATGGCCAATTTTATTTATTTTAATAATGCAATACATTATGTTCATGGTGGAAGTGAAACAAGCTGTAAATTTTAGGGTGCTTGAAATACATAAGCGCTAGTGTCAAATAAATTTACAGTTTGTGTTCAGCCTTGAATATGGCAGTCTTGGTAGTCAGAAAAACAGCAGGTAATTTCTATTTTTCTTGTTTTGTGGAATGCCTGAGGATGCTCATTGTTGACCATTTCCGTAGTTTTAGAGAGTCTTGCTTTGATGACTTGAAAATCCACATTGCAAAATTTGCAAAATTAGWGGTCCCCATACTTACTGTCAAGTAGCTGCGGAGCTCTCTATRGTAGGGAAATTTGTATTGATAAATGAAAATATTGAATATTTTAATTTCACAAAAAATAAGTGTTTTGATTTTKGGCTTATTTGAACAGAGTGATTGACCTCCACTGCTGCTTTTATGTTGGTTTTCAGCTGCTGGACAAATTAAGAGATCGTTGGATGCATACTGGCTTGTGGAGAAACCTCGAGCAGGTCAAGACAGTCATTGCAGAGCCCCAAGGAGGAGCAAAGAGCGACTTTGACGAACTGCTGAAAATATACTATGATGCAATAAAATGTAAAGGAGGAAAAGGTATGTTCCTCAGACATATAAAAAGGCTGATAAAGAGGCTTCAGAAATGGAAGGGGGATTAGCTGCTGTTCACGTTGTTGCGTGAGGATATGCATAAGCCTAATAGTGACATTTGAAAGGCAAGGACATGCATTTCCACATCCAACAGGGTGGTGGACTGGCGACAGCTTCTCCAAGAGCTGAAAGTGCATTGCATAGCTACGTTTCTTCTCAAAACATTTAAATACTTGTGTAGAGAATAAAGAATGATAGTATATAGGAGAATAAATAGCATGGCTTTTGGAATGCAAATGTAAGGTTTAAATTCTTTAATTTTGTAGTAGATATACATGGTTCTTGCATAATTAAGTACCAATATTATACAATGCAAATTTATTTTGCTAGTTGATATTCGGCATCTCAATATTATTGATCAAAATAAAATTAATCTCACTGTCTAAGTGTAAAGCACCTCTTTTTATGTCTGGTCACCTTCTCTGTTATGTTGTATTATGCTTAGCTTTTTAAGATCTTGGTGAAGCTTTCTTCTGATACTCAGTTTATCCCTGGGAATGATTTGTCAATCCCTCTTTGGCTTGTTCAAGATGGAGCACTCCTGATAGCTGTATGCAGAGGAAAAGTTAGCGAAGGCTTGGATTTCTGCGATGACAATGCCCGTGCTGTTGTAACCATAGGGATTCCGTTCCCAAATGTGAAAGACCTGCAGGTAGGTTATCAACACTAGCTGGAAGTGGTACTTTACTGTTATGTAATGCTTAAAATAGCTAATTTGCCCCCAGATCCTATAAGGACTGGCAGGATTATGGTAGCAGTGGCTGCCAACATACTGTTCTCTCAGTGTTTGTATGTTTTTCTTGAGGCACTTATTCAACCATAACATTTTCCTTTTTGCTAGAAGATAATACACTGTATTTTAATATAAAAATACACGCATACAAAAATATTTAGCGCTCTTTCTGGAGTTTAAAATGCTTTATTTTAGAAGCATACACTGAAATGATATTTTGGAAATACTTGATCTGCAGAACGGCTGGAATTCTGTGATTCCCTGGAAATGATTTCCAGAACGTCAATATTTTTGTATTTTAAATGATACAGAATTAAACTGAAAAGTATGTGTCAAGGGTGGATTGTGTTCATGATGAATTATGTTCCTTAATCTTAAAATAGTACATTTGATTTTTCCTTGGGATTTAACCAAATATGAAATATAATGGGAATCCAGGCATTACATCCCATTACTGTTAAGAAAATTCTGAAAATCAATATTATGTTGAATGATTTTTTTTTAAATTAGACTGAGCAAAACCTCTAAATTTTTAAGTAAGGATAGAAACACTAGCTGCCAAATTGCAAGCAGCTGAAGCCTTGAGTGTATATATTTAGATCGGGTAATGCACAAAGCACTGCAGTGATCAATTCTAGATGAGAGGAGGGCAGGCACCGGTCTCTCAGCGTCAGATTTGTGGAGCTGGCTGATGCGTGGCACTGCTCCTAAATCATGCCATGGAAATGGTGATTATTAGAAGTGTGTCTTTTGCTTAATAACTTAGGTGATGCTTGGATAGCTCCGAGGCTCGTTTGTCAGATACCTCAAAATTCGTTGGTTAGGGTGTGCACTTGCTAACCTCTAGTGCTCAGATTGTCAACTAGGGGAGGAAGGAAGCAGAGAAGTCACTCTTTTCCACTGAAGAAGATTCATTTGGGGCTTTTTAGAAATGTATGCATGATACAAAGGAATTTTGGAGGTTCAGCTGCATGTTAGTTCAGTCAGGACAGAAACTAGAACTAGTTTATCAACAGCTAGTTCCTAAAGTAATGAAGATTGGAGTGTAAAATATTTTATTTATATGTGTATATATAGCTATATTTATTTTAGGAAGACCATTTTCCTCTGAAGCTGGTCTTTTTAAGTTTACATCAACCCACTGTGTTACCCTATCTCATATTCTCTGTTAACAAATGCAAATGTTGGTTTGTTACTTCAGTCCTCCTTGGCCAACAGACCATACCCATATATCTGAAAGAAAAATACCCTAGAATGGAAGGAATTTTAATCTGTAGGAAGGATAAATGAATTCTTTCTTACAAGAATTTGCTGCACACAGCAGAACAGCTTTCTTTTAGGGTGACTTTTGTCTATCTGATCATTTTGTGTCAAAATTGACTTAAAGTGCCGATTTTTTTATTTCAATATTTCTATTAACTATTTCTTTCTTTTGAGTTTCATTTTTTTCTTCTAGAAATAGGAGAATCCAGATTCTTTTAAACATTAGAGGCCATAGTACAGTCCAGCTTTCTTTTTAGGAATTTAGGGAATGTTCCTAAACAAAATGATTAAAGTGTCTCTGAGAGTTAAGACATTTGCTTTCATGATATAGTTGATTGGAATTTCTTTAGATTTTGTGAGAACTAGTCAGAAAATTGATTAAATATTGAATAAACATTCCAGCTTTGAAAATTTGAGAGCAGCTTGGGTTTTGAGTAGGCAGAAAAGAATTCTAAATATAATGATAAAAACTAAGCTAGACTTCTATACAACTATGATCACAGGTACAGCTGTTGCTTTATATAGCAATGAGTGCTGGATATATATGCTGAATGAAGAAATTTATACACAGATTAATAATGACATCCCTTTATAAGTAGGAAATGCAAGTGATTAGCAATTCCCTTGGAAAAATCCATGAGTGATGTACTTCTGGGATCACCTTAAATTGCCAAAAAGTGTTCAGGTTGCTACATGGAAATACACTTGCATGTCTGCTTTTTAGGTTAATAACAGGCCTCTTCAGACTCCGTTCTATACTCCCTGACTCCTGCACACAGCTCTTACTTGTGTGAGTAATCCCATTAATATCACCAGGACTATGCTCAGCCATAAGGGTTTGTAGAATTGTACCTTTGGAGACCTATATTTTATGCTGGCAGTTTCATGTTGGCTCATCTCCACTAATACTGCTCGTCTGTGATCAACCTACTTTCTAAATATGTTTTATGATTTGTAACCTGATGCTAATACCAGTGAACTGTAATATTTGAGAACATAAATAATGTGACAGAAAAAGGTCTGTAATCCCATATACATGTTATTTGATGCTAACATGCTATTCATTAACTYCTGTTATATATTTTGAATTGCAGTGTTTGGATCACGACATCAGTCTTTACTTGGGGGGGGAGGAGGAGAGAATCTCATTGTCAAGTATGATGTATAATATCCAATTTTATTTTCTCCATATGTTTGTGCTAAACATATGACACTACAGCAGGTATTAAATGGCAAGCATTCAGTCTCCTGAAATAGCTGTGCTTTTACAAGTTGCATTATTTTCTATAAGCTTAGCTTGTTTGAAAACAAGAACTTGTTCAGAATATCATCTCACTTTTCTCCTGGTTGCTTCAGCTTGGAATTTCAGGCACGGAGGATCTTGAATCTCTCATTTTTCTAAAGAGAAGGTGTCCAAACCACTTGGTCAGCATTAGGGAAGCAGTGGTGATTAAAGGATTCGAGTGTACTTGGGGATAAACAATACTGTTTTAAGAAAGAGAGGCCAACCCCCTACTTCTGCATTGAGAATGGTTTCATATTCCATAAGAAGCAGATTGCTAAAGCAAAATATATAAAAGCAACATGAAATTACTGTTTTAAGCTATGGTACTCTCAATGGTAGAGTTTGGCTCTAGCAAAGCAGGAAAATTTATTTCAGAGCCAAAAATGACTTCTTTGGCTGTGACCAGGATTTCCTCTGCCCGCCTCTGGGAGCTAAAACTAGAGGTAGGAAAATTTGATTTTGGAGCCAAGTGTGACTTGTTTAGTTCCAGTCGTAATTTACTGTTCTTACCTTGGGGACCAGAAAATAAAGAAACTTGCTATGAAATGTTGATAATGGGTGACTCTGAAGTGCAAGCATTAAGCTAACTTTCCCAGAGAGCGTTTCTTCACTACCACCTTTCCAGATGCTTTTGATCGTACTACAGTAGGGTGTACTTAATCATGTAACAGCTAAGAGAACTCCACCAAAATATATAGAAAAATGCACTCAAGCCCTTTTACATAAATAGATGTACAAAGAAAATAAACTTTGTAAGACTCAGCTTTCTGTGCATTGATATTAGTCAAGAACTGCAACAGAGTTTGCCATTAATGAGAAGTATTTCCTTTAGCTRCTATAGAGTAAGTATGAACTCTGATGGCAAATACTGCTTTTTCCACTGTTTCCAGCAACATAAGTTGTGAAACATGATGGAAAACATCACAAATACGAAGTGGGGAGCAGAAAAGCCTTTACAGGGCATCCAACAGCAAGGCAGACATTGTGGCAAATTATGTAATGTGTTTTTCTTAGAAGTAAGAACTGAATCAGGTAAATGTGTTTATTTGTACTCATATACTTGCACTTCTCTTTCTTCCATGCCCCGCTTCCATATGAATTTAAATTAAAAATTCAGGTTTAATTTAAAAAAGGATTCATTTAGGAGAGTATCTATAAAATCCTATGTAATGCAATGTTGTCGCAGTGAAGAGAGGTAACATTTAAGTTCAGCTTATCAAATAAGGCTAGTGGATGGCATTTCTCTTTTACTGGTGCAAGGCGAATGTCAATATGTTGGCACAGATTACAGAAGTCATCCCTGAATATATCCGGAAGTTAAGCCTGTGGATAAATAATACAGCAAATCAAAACTTTTCCTTTACCTTTAATAGTTTACTTYGGAATTTTTTATGGATCAGAAAAGTGATTTTCCTGTGTTTATCTTGTCCTTAGCAAGTAGTGTTGACCTTTAAGTTTTTACTTTACTGTCAAAGTATGTTGAAAGCTTTAAAAGTGAAGCTATCACCTTGGGGATTTGTAAGGATGACTGACACTTACCACTTCACCTTGGACGCAGCGGCACTGAGCGTATGCAGCAGCGTTGTACCTCAGGGGAAGCTGTTTGATTTTTTTCACTTCTGCTTCACTGGAAATGGATTGAATTTTCTCTTCAGAGGAGAGTTTTGGTTGCATTAGATTTTAATCAAGTCACTTGTTCACAGTCCCTCAAAGCCTACAAGCCTGAGATGAGTAGATGGGCCTGGGGTGAATGTGCTACATGATTTGTCAAACTGTAAAACTTAAAGATCTCGGAGATGCCGCATGGTGTAGCTCACAATACTAAAAGTGGTTACAACATTATATAAGCTCCCCGTCTCTTTAACACTGGGATTAAGAGTGCGAATACTTGGGAAGCATTTAGTCATAAGATACTTGGTGAATTCAAAATAAGGGAAATGTGGCTTTGCGCAGGATGGAACTGCGGCCGCTCTGCCCCCGCGGTGGCCTTGGCCGCGTAGACTGCAGTAGATAGTTGCTTGCTGTTGAGTTTGGGGGCTCTCTTCTTTCAGTGATCACCTCATACGGACGTTTTTGAATAAAGAGGAAACAAGCCACCACAGATTTCCACAGTGTACAGTGTTACTGTGTCTATAGATTGGTGGCTTTTTGTTTAAAAAATGCAATATTTGTGTGTGAAAACAAAATAGAGTGATATATTTTTTGTTTCTGGTGACCATTCTTAGCTAGGTAGGATGAGTAGAACAGCTGGAATAAATCTTTGTCATACACAGAATCTAGTGTGATAAACTGTAGGCGTTTGCATGGTTCATACTGCTTTGTATGTATCAATACTGCTTGCACTTGGGATGCCTGAAGCATTTGAAGATAA